ACAGGATGAAATGGAGATGTGATGTTAAAGCCTTATGTTTCACTGAAACTCTAAGAGAATGACAACAGTGTTCTGAATATGGTGTAAAAATCAGGCACAGACTCATCTATGCAACAAACATTGAATAGAAATTGTATTGCCTAAATTTCTCAACTAGTGATTTTCTTCTTTTTTTTCACTAGTAAAACACACATCAACTGGGGATAAGGGGACTAATTTCTTCAAAATATTTAACTAAGTATGACGACCAATATTGTCTACTTGAATCAACAGAAATAGATGCTTTCATTCCCCTAGGCTCAGCTAAACTACTACACGAATACACGATAAACAGTCACGTTAAATGTGTGTGAGAGGTGAACAAGTCTGTTATCTTTTAGAATCAATACACTCACATCTTGGATACAATCAATTTGGCATCTTTATGCAAAACAAGACGGCAGTTTTATAAGGTAAGTTATAAAACAACCCCCGTGTTACGCATGATACATAGAAGTGTATTTACAAACGTAGCATAGTACAATGCGACTTCACCAAATGTAGAGGCCATGAATACATTACCGATACAGAAATATGAAAGCAAAGGATTGGTACTTTCTTCTCAGTTTAACTATGCTTTATGTAAGACGACAGAGAGAAACTGCTAAAGAAAGGTTCACTTAAATGATCCTGATCAATTATAAATACAAAATGAGAACAGTGAAATTATTTTCGACAGTGTAAAATTTAAAAAAAAATTAGTGAAAGTATACTAACCAGTAACTTAAGTTGTGAACAGCAATCTTCCATATTTTTAACATGTTCAGCTAACTTGTCATAGTCTGTTTCCAATATTAGACCCGTACGCAATTTCTTCATCTTTTCTTTATTATCACTTAAATACAGATCACAAAGTGTATATGTGACACAGTCGTCAATACTGTCTGTAGATAAGGAATCTGAGAGAGAGAGAAAAATCCAAAAAATGTTATTCACCTTCAGATATACTGGGAGGAGTAAAGTAAATATTTTGAGAAGTTTACACTTTCAACTTATACTAATACACAGATTACAAGCTGAAATCAGTTAGAGAACCATTGAAAACCATGGAATGTCGTACAAATGATTCACACTGGTGTCGAACTCTTCAGAAGTACCTACTTATGATCCCACTGGAGATCGGACACAGGACATACAAGTTAACAAAGTGAACACATTAATCACTCAGCCACTGGGACAAAGTACACAGGCCTATGAATTCTCACTTTCGTAGATTAGCGATAAAAAGTGCCACTGTCAAACAGTATCATCCGCGAACACTTGTACTTGGGACTGCACTTGGTAAACCCTGGTGGTCATGACTTCTCAAGAGAACTCCAGGAACTCCATTCCGTAGTCAGTCACTAGTGAGCAGTAGATGAATTTTTAACTGTTGGTCTATAGGTATATTGTTTATGCAAAACCACAATATGAACTAATATCAGTTCGAAAACCAGTGAAAACCATGGAGTGTTGGACAACTGTTAGCCATATACCTCTCATTTTGTAGTAATCTACTGGTATTTGAAAAACCATTTGTTACGTATAGAATGTCAATCAGAACAAATTTGGCTACAGAAGTTTGAGAAGAACCAGCAGTGCCTTTTGTTATTCAGGTTAAACTATACACGACCATATATATATATATATATATATATATATATATATATTCACTGTTTTACAAAACGCTGTGGTCAATGAAGTGAAGTGCCCTGCTGTGGTGAGAAGTGGCTGCTAGCCAAAGTTGGTAGACAGTAATTTACGTCAATGTTAACGTCCCCAATATTAGTCGTGAGAAAAATAAGAACAGAGACTGATTCAACAACTAACCACAGAAGACTTTGCGTAGGCGGATACAGTTAGCATATGGATGATCTGTTGTCTGGCCCTTGTCTTCTGTTGTTACACTATTAGCTCATCTATTAAATACATGTCCAAAAGGTTTAACATAGACACTTCCTATCCAAAGATTCCAACACATAAGCGATATTATTTAACAGTGTTTAACTAGATCACCCTTGAAATACAAACGAACAAGTAAAATCCAAGACGATACACTTGGACAGTGTGTGATTTAACCACTTGAAATAAACAATAAAAGTGGAGAGTTAGTAAAAATCTTTTGTCTATATCTATACACTTTCTGCATTCAGAAATGACTGTTTAGACTGTACATAGGTTTAAGTCTATTGCATTAAAAGTACACATAGAGCTGACTGAATTGGTGAACGACTTTGTCATATATGGTATTTATTCAGCTGGGATTTCAGGGCGATCATAAGTGGAAACTGAATGAATGAACACTGGGGTCTGGTGTAAACATACATAGTACGGCACCTTTCAACATAGGACTTTGGCACAGATATGCACCAGTTCGAGCTCGCGCACACCCTCCATGTAGCACACAAAGCAAGAGAAGAGAGTATATAGAAATTCAAAAGACAGGTAATAAACAGAAGTGTGAGAGAAAAGGAATAGTAATATGGAAGAATAATATAATTTTATTGGTTATGATAAATCGCGAAGAGTGAATGCATCTGCTCCATTGGGGACGATTTTGAGCCATATCACACCAATCGTCTCCAGCCTGCATTGATTCTTACCATCTCGAAGACACCGACCAGGAAGTCTACACATCTCTACGTGACTGGCTCAAACCAACTGTTATGGATTTCATTGACTGATGCCATGTTTTGGTTTGGTTGCCACTAGCCAACTCTCCCGACCGAAAGCTGCTACCTTGACGTGGTGGTCGGGCTTGAACACCACAATATCCGAACAGGCTATACTGGCTGAGACTTATGTCTCTTGAAGTCCTGCCATGCCAGAAAGGTTGTTTGCATAGCGGTTAAACAAAAAGCAGCTACCCAATCCAATACTATGATACAAACAAACTCACAAAATATCATGCCGGATCGGTCGGGGCCCGGATTAACAAGGACCGCGCTTCCTGCTCCCGTGTCACAGGGCAGAAGTGATAAATATGCTACTGAGACACACCAAACAATAAAGAACAAACAGAAACAGGCCGCGTGTGGCCGGCCTCAAGCAGTTGTCCCCTGGGCTCTGCGGTCACGCAACCAACTTCCATGGTGTGGGCAGCCGGGAAGTAGCAATCGCCCTCACAATCCGAAACGCACGCGAAACCTCTCTATTAATCACTCATCTTTGTTTTCATCTTCATCTCTATCATCTTGCCTTCCTTCTACTGATGCAACTCCTCGACTTGATAGCTCTTCACTTCCTCTTCACTCTGTGTCCACTATATACGACGGAAGACAGAAAACCACCACCGATAGTCTCCTAAAGCCACGCCACCAATTTCATATAGGAGTATTTAATGTTAGGACACTTTGCCAAATAGGACAACAAGCATCTCTAGCCAAGACTCTGGCATTCCGAGCCATTGATGTATGTTGTGTTCCACAAACACGCATACAAGACCCGAATGTGGTTATTCACCTAACCCCACCTGGCCAACAGGTGTCAGGATGTCAGGAGGTGGCACAGCTAGTTCACGAGGATTAGATGGTGTAGGGACAGCTTTGAGTACTAGGGCAGAAAAGACATTACTTGACTGGATTCCGGTAGATAGCCGAATGTGTGCTGTCCGTCTGAACGGGTCAGTATAAAGGAGAAAAGACTGCACTACTCGCCAATGCCTTTTCGTTATCTCTGCCTACGCCCCCACTGACTGCAGTTCGGATGAAACGAAGGATGAGTTCTATCAAAAGCTGTTTAGTTTGCTGCGAAAGGCTAAACGCTCAGATATAGTCGTTCTAGCTGGTGACTTTAACGCTCAAGTAGGGAAATTGTGTCAATCTGAGAAGGATGTCGGTGGCACCTATGGAGTTTCGTGCCAGCGAACCGACAACGGTGATCGTCTCCTACAGTTCTGTTCTGATAATCACTTGTTTCTTGTAAGCACTAACTTCAAACACAAGGAGAGACACTGTTTGACCTGGCGACCCCCATCATCAAACCAACGCTGGACACAAATAGACCACATAGCAATAAGCTATCGTTGGCGTTGGTCGGTAGGAGATTGTCGCTCCTTCTGGAACACGTGTGTAGATACCGATCACGCACTGGTCCGCGCTCGGGTGTGCTTACGACTGAACGGATGTAGAAAACAGCTGGCGGTAAAACCATCACGTCCCCGGCTCGATCAGGAAACTGAATCCCTATTTGAGGAAGAACTAGCTAAAGACATCTGAGTTCGACAGCTGTGCTCATCCTGAAGAAGCTTGGAAGAATATTCAGTCAGCCATAGATAAAGCTGTAAAAGATGTGAAAAAGGTAAATCCAAAGGTGAGTAAAAACCACTGGATCTCCACCGCATCATCCCAACTGATAAATGCTAGAAGACTTATTCCGGCGAGCTCCGAATTCAATGAGGAGCGAAAGCTGCACAAAAGGAAACTCACGAAAAGTCTCCGAAAGGACCGTGAACAGTGGTGGGTGACAAAGGTGAAAGAGATGGAAAAAGCATCGGCGATAGACAACACTAGGCAACTCTTTCGACTCATCAGGGAAACGGGTGGGAGAAGGCAAGTCAAAAGTGAAACAATCTCGCAGAAAAATAGCACCATAATTGGCCCCCAGGATAGACGACTGGAACGCTGGAAAGAGCACTATGACGAGCAGTTTAATTGGCCTACAGCCACTCTCAGCCTGCCGAGCATCCAACACCTCCCTGAATGGGATATAGACACAAGTCCTCCATCCCTAACTCAGGTTACTAAAGCTGTCACCAATCTGAGACAAGACAAAGCAGCGGGTCCTGATGGAATCACTCCAGAGGTATTTAAGAACGGTGGAGACAGTTTACTGTCTGCATTAACTGAGGTTCTAAGCAGCGTTTGGGAATCAGAGGAAGTCCCATCGAGTTGGTGTAAGTCACTGATTATCCCCATATACAAGAAGGGAGACAAGTCTTCCTGTGAGAATCACAGAGGGATTAGCCTGACTAATATAGTATCTAAAGTCCTAGGCTCAATAATCATGCGTAGACTAAGTGGTGCTTGGGAGGCACAAACACGAGAGAACCAGACAGACTTTAGACCAGGAAGAGGGTGTATTGATCATATCTTCACCCTCCGACAGATTCTAGAACATAGTCATTCCTACCGGCGTCCAACAATCACTATTTTCCTTGACCTAAAAGTGGCATTCGATTCTGTAGACCGAGAGGTTCTCTGGCGATGCTTGCTTGCAAAAGGAATGACGAGAAAATACATTGCACTGATCAAGGCACTCTACTCGAACTCATGCAGTCAGCCAGGTGAGGGCTTACGGCGAGTTGTAATCTGCACTGGTGACGATTAGTGGTGTCCGTCCGGGATGCACTGCCCATTATCCCCTTTTCTATTCAACTTCATCACTGATGTACTAATGGACTTAACCCTAACTCACTTCAGCGACTCAAGGATTGACTTGCTACCAGGGAACAATCTCGTTGACTTAGAATATGCAGACGATATAGTCTGTGGTGATTGACAATTTCTATCTCTGTATTGTTTAAATACTTACTGTTGATTGTTAATATGTTTCTTATATGAATTGCAGAATAATTCCGCTAAATACAAAGTCCTGAATTCCGCCCTCTCTGTGTTTTGTTTGGATTCTTGTAATTCGGTCATCTTGAAATACTAATATTACGATTACAATAAATTACTACAAATTGGCGTCGCGATGGAACTAAATAACCTGGGAAAATTCCCCATTAATGGGTCTCCGCGGGAGATTGCTGATTATTTGGAATGCTTCGATGCGTGGTGCATTTCAAAGAATGTTCGGGATGACAAAATTCCAGCACATTTCATCACTGCTATTGGGCTAGATGCATATAGTAGTAAAGACTCTGTCATTTCCAGATAAACCCATTTCTCTGCCCTATTATAAACTACGTGAACTTCTTATAAATTACTTTCATGTAACTACATTTGAGACCAGAGAGAGGGCTCACTTCAACAAACTGGTACGTTCTCCCAACCAGAAGATTCGAGAGTTCATTCTTCAACTCCAAATACAAGCTTCAAAGTGTAACTTTGGAGATCAGCTGAATACTCAACTACGTGATCGTCTAATTGCTGGAATCAATATTACTAACTTAGAGAAAGAGTTAATTCAGATTCCTTCTTGTACCTTTCAAACTGCTAAAGATTTATGTATTACATATGAAGATGTCAATAATGAATACTCTGCTCCCACTACGTCAGTATCTGATGATATGCTTTCTAAAGTCGAAAATACAAGTGTTTATGGAAAGCAATCCAAACTGTCGTCCACAGGTAACAGAATGCATCGAGAGATCAAAAACATTAAACCGTGTTTTTCCTGTGGAAAGTTACATCTACGAAGCACTTGCCGTTTTCGGGGTGCTAAGTGTCACAAATGTGGTAAAGTTGGACACATCAAGACTGTTTGCAGGAGTTCGAATACTTATGTTGCTCAACATTCTTATAATTCTCCCAAGCTGTCTAGTAAAATGGAGTCAATGTGTCTTTCAACTTTTCAAAATACTCAATCTCATTCAATGAAAACCTCCACTACAAGTTCGGCAACTCAAGTGTCAACTGTTTTCAAAAATGTGGTAGCCGAGCTACAATGTGAACTGTCGAAAACACGAAAAGACCTGAATGAGATGAGAGAGCAACTAATTAAAATTGAGGAATTACTGCATATGCATAGACTGCGTCTGTTGAATGCAGAGCATACAAGTACTCGTGAAAGTCCTGCAAAACGTTTCAAATCTCGAATTCTCAAAAAGCATCTGATGTCCACGACTTCTAATGTACATTATTACAAAGGTAATGACTATAGACCTTCTGTTGGAATTATACTACAAAAAATGGGAAATCGAGTGGTGAAGATATTAGACATCAAAGATCACTCAGTTCATAAAAGACACCTGGACAAAGTGACAATAAATGAAGTAGGTCGTTCCAATTATTATTTTAATGATTCCGCTAATAATCCTGATTTTGTAGATAATTCAGAAATAGGTCCAGATAATACTGATGAAAATGATATCACAGAACCAGTTAGAAGGTCGCAGCTACTTTCAAGCAAACCGTGACATCAGTATAAACACACAAGAAGACATTCGACGTGTGGCGGATGTGGTGATTGACAATTTCTATCTCTGTATTGTTTAAATACTTACTGTTGATTGTTAATATGTTTCTTATATGAATTGCAGAATAATTCCGCTAAATACAAAGTCCTGAATTCCGCCCTCTCTGTGTTTTGTTTGGATTCTTGTAATTTGGTCATCGTGAAATACTACTATTGCGATTACAATAAATTACTACATAGTCCTTCTAGACGAGGACGCTGACAAAATGCACAGTCTCCTAAACATCTCCAACTGCAATCTACGAAAGTTTGCCATGCGATTCGCTCCCGCCAAATGCAAGATGATGTTACAGGACTGGATTACACCGACTCGTAGATTACAAATAGGAAGTGAAGTGGTAGAGCACGTTGACCGCTTCACTTATTTGGGGAAGTACCATCAGCCCCAACGGGTTGATCTCTGACGAAATCTCAGCACGAATACAGGGGGCTCGTTTCGCATTTGACAGTTTGCGCCGACTCTGGCGTAGACGAGATGTTCGACTATCGACCAAAGGGCGGGTGTACTGCTCATCAGTTCGCTCCGTCCTCCTTTACGGTCAGCTGTGAGACCTGGCCACTGAGAGTAGAAGACATGAAAAGACTAGCTGTCTTTGATCATAGGTGCCTGCCTGCGTTCTATCTTCCGTGTTAAGTGGTATAATCGTGTGAGTAATATTGAGATTAGGCGTGGAGTGCTAGGTAAGAAAAGGAAATCAAACAATGAGGTTGTGTGAAGTTACATTGATTGAGATGGTTGGGACATGTAATATGCATGTCTTATCATCGCCACCCTCAACGGGCAATATTAGCTGACATAGAATCAGATTAGAAGAGAGTGAGCTGTCTGTTTGTCGCTCTATCTGTTTTCGACATAGAACTTTGCACATATGTGCGGCACCTCAAGTCGCCACACTTCACTCCATGTAGCACACAAAGCAACAGAAGAAAGTAGAAGAAATGCATAATAGAGATAGTAAACAGAGGTGTGAGACAAAGGAAGAGTAATAACGAAGAACAAAACAGTTTCATTGGAGATCATAAGCCACAAGGAGTGGATGCATCTGCGCCAGCCATTGAGAACGATTTTGAGCCATATCACCAATTGTTTCCAACCATAGATTTTTACCGTCCCGAGGACCCCAGCCTGGAAGTCTACACCTTCCTACGTGGCTTTGACCAACTGTTGTAGATTTCATTGACTGGTTCGGCCATGTTTTTGTTTGACCTCCGCTAGCTCTTTTCCAGCCTGACCCTATATCAGGTAACATTGCTCGTCGAGGGAGGCGATGACTAGGCTAGGCATACGTAACACATGTCCTAACCATCTCAGTCTATGTAACTTCACAACCTCGTCGATTGATTTCCCCTGTTTATCTAGAACTCGACGCCTAACCTCAATATTGCTCACTCTATTATGCCACTTTACACGGAAGATAGAACGCAGGCAGGCACCTATGATCAAAGACAGCTAGTCTTTTCATGTCTTCTACTCTCAGTGGCCAGGTCTCACAGCTGGCCGTAAAGGAGGACGGAGCGAACTGATGAGCAGTACACCCGCCCTTTGGTCGATAGTCGAACATCTCGTCTACGCCAGAGTCGGCGCAAACTGTCAAATGCGAAACGAGCCCCCTGTATTCGTGCTGAGATTTCGTCAGAGATCAACCCGTTGGGGCTGATGGTACTTCCCCAAATAAGTGAAGTGGTCAACGTGCTCTACCACTTCACTTCCTATTTTTAAACTAGGCGTCGATAAGAGTATGTAATACTACAACTTAGTAAGAACTATGCAGAGTAGAGTTGGAAAGTGTAATCTATCGGTTGCAAATAATTTGACTAAACCATTTACACTCTTCATTGTAATGGATCTACTACGAACATCCTTTTATTGGTTTGTGGCAGCAACAAGATTTGATTAGGTAGGTAAGTCATTGATTTCAGGAAGAAAGGGAAAATATAATATATGTTATCCGATATTAATTTGTTTATTAGATATATCAGACAGTGAAATAGTATTACTTACTGGGTAATGTTTGAAACACAACTTATGGTTCATAATAATGTCAATTATAACCACACATTCAAAAATTTCCTTTTATAGTTTTCTTTATTTTTTCTTACTTGTCGTAAGGGTAGTAGAATTTTCCAGATGTCTGGGACAGGTGTTGAACCATTTCTGTTGCACCAGTTTGCAGTTGATTTGATAAACAAAGCTTCCGTTATCAATCTCTCCCTCCACTCTGTGACATTAGATTTTAAAACCATCCTATTGTATGGTTGTGTGTAATTGCATGTAGTGCTATAGCTGAACTATTCTCTAAATTTCTTATCTTATTCGAGTCAACTAATCTAGATTTCGCCAGGTTGTTTGCTCCGCTAGTCTGACTGTCCCTGTTCTACTACCTTGACCTGACAATCATTGCAGGATATTAGATAAACTAAACTGTTTTGTTTTAAAGGCTCCACAGAATTGGCCCTTTAACCGACAAAGCTTGTTTCTAATTGAGTTTGTGGGTTTGAATACCAACCACTTTTACTCCTGCATTGTTAAGAATTCTCCGTAAGGTTCATTTATCGAACCAACTGCACATACGTCTAATAGGAATGACTCAATACGCTACAACGAATAGGGAAGTTTCGAAGTTGTGTGGCTATTACTGATATGATTATGAACAATGAATTGTGTTCAAAACTTTGTCATCCAGTAAACAATAATACTTTCTTAATATGTGACATATCTAACAAACAAATTAATATGGAATTATATCCTAACAGTATCCAAGTTTCACACATATAGAAATACATATTATTTAAAATTCACCTGTCAATATTTTCCATATATGTGTAGCCAAATTTGTGAATACGACACAAGATTGACGGAAGTTTGTACTCCATTTATCTCCTAATGAAGATATTTTATCCAATATACCTGACAAGCGTTCATTTACTGATAGGAAAGTACTTGACTCCTGTAAGGTTAAATGTCAAAAAAACAAAAGAGAAAGTAAAATCAGGTTATAAAACTGATGAATTTGGTTAGGTAAGGAGAAAGTGTTGGACTTCACACTGAGCTCCATCAATTTATATTACAACCTCATCGATTAGATGGTCTCTCTCAATTAATACTCTGTATAACTTTACCGATATTGACTGTATGGTTCTACTCAGTGCAACAGCTATGCTGCAAACATCTGCATCACCAAACACCTGTGAGTGATTCATAGACTATAAACTGATGAAAAATGAGTAGTTCTAAGAAAGTATCTATAACTTACACAATTCTCAAGCTTCATAGGAATGAGACTACCGTCGAGAAACTAACTATGCACTGAAAAGTAACGAAGAATGTTTCATTTGTCCAGAGGATCCAGAGAAGTGACCTAGAAGGCTAACATTATTAGGGATATCCAGACTAAAGATTGCATAACAGCGTTATTTTCTTAATTATGACGGTTGGAAAGGAAACAGTGTTAGTCACTACTTCATTTAGAAGGCAACTTATTAAACGAAAGCAACGAAAATTCATGAAGGAAAACACAATACAAGTTAAGTTAACAGAGTTACTGTTTCTAAATTGATACAGAGGATCCAAATTCTCTCGGTACATAAGCTTCCTACATATGTGGCGTGTGCCGCTGGTAATATTTATCAGTAGTATATAAAGAGATGTTCACCGGCATAAAAGTAGCAAGTAGATAGATTTGATGTCAGAGAAAGCGAGTGATACAACGTTGCGGAGAAACATAGGAGACGTGAAAGGAATACAAAGAAACACACGCAATATGAAGACGAGAAGTAATAGAATACGGAAGATCTGTACAATCAAGTCTTTTTGTACTCATTCAATTCCATACTGCAATATTATATCTTGTGACATGGATATGTTATGCACACCATTCTAGTACCCTGGATACAATCGATTTTTTTGATATAGCTACGAGACCAGCTGGAACAAATGATGAAGTGGTTGGTGCCATGATGGAATCCTAGCCTAGCATCCATCATCAAGTGAGTAATCATGATGTATTTTTGTTTCATCACTTGTTGTGACAAAAGGACATTAAGGTGAATTCATCATATATATATATATATATATATATATATTTGGAAACAATACAAATTGAAACCTAACAATGTAATATGCATTCTAAGTAACTTCGATCTTTAAATGATACTGGCGAACTTTTGTTATCCAGAAAGTACTGGACACTTCAGTGAGAATATTTTGCCATAGTAGTGAACAGTCGCGTCGGTGGCACAGCGGTAGAATGCTTGCCAACCACGTAGGTGGTTCACGGTTTGATCCCCTGCCGACATAGTCCCAAACCTCACTTAACTGGTAATAAGACTGGTAAAGAGTGAAGGTTGGACATGAGGCTAGCAACCCCATCCTGTAAAAATGAATGCCACTGCTACCGAAACTTCAAAGCTCTAGCCTGAAGCTCTATGTTCCACTGGGAACCTAAAGGAATAAAATTTAAAAAATAAATAAATAAACAGCCACAATGCATATAATGTCTGTCAAAAGTTTCTGCACTGTGGAATGGATCAGTTTATTACAAACATACCTTCAATGATTGTTTATATACAGCGATAAGTTTTCCGATTTCATTAATATTTCGAGCAATATTACTACTCGTGATCATATCAATTGTTGGAACATATTATTTCAAAAAAAGTGGTAATGGTAATCGAAGAATATTTTGAGACAGAGGTAGTTCAGTTAAAAGTCCATGCTTTACCCCACGAATTGCACTTGTTTAAGGGCTGACAGCCTTGTTAAGACATTCTACAAGAATCAGACGGAGTAGAATTCGGATTCATAGCTCTGATCTTGACAGTCAAAAGCTGAGTACACTATTAAACAACAGTTCTACACAATTCAGTTAATAATAATAATTAATAACACAATGAGTACAGGTAAACTCATGGAGTACAACCACAGCAAATTTTGTGTAATGATTTTCAAAATATAACCTGATATAAGGTCTTACTCGTGTGACAGATGAAATATTTGGGCGATATGGACCTTCATTCACTGGAGTTGAAGTAACTACTTTAGAATGATTATTCCTGTGTTTATGTCTCCTCTTCTTTTCCGATGATGATGATGATGATGCTGTATTGGAAGTGCCCAACTTATTTTTGTCTTCCATACTGTTAAATCATGAACTGCAACTCTAAAACCGTTACAAAAACACGAAAAATTTGTACAAACATTCATTAAGTTTATAACAGTAGAAAAGAAAATCATAAAATCAGTAAACGACTAAAAAACATACTGATAAGTGGAAATATCTAAACTGAAGAGGTAGACACATTTAAATTCATTCAGCTTATACCAATCTAGAGGTGTAGGCTGATGGTCTCAGCACTTAACTTTCGGCTAATGAATCCTATGTTTGAACCGACCTCAGCATACTTCAGCGTGCACTGACGGGAAACAGAATAAACATTTACATAAGTGTAAACCACAGATCAGTACACGAATAAGCTTTATTGTGTTGCATTACTCATATTCCACTTAAATTAAAAGTAATCTACGCTAACAGTTGTTTTTTTTTTTTACTTTTCACCCTTTCTATGGTCAATTATGGGACTAAACATCCCTCCGAAAGCTTTAAGGAGAAATGAAAAAATGCCCAAGAACACTTTTAATTACCTATAACTTATTTCCAGTAGCCACTAACTATAAATACATAGTAGCTTTTCCTAGAAGTTCAAGGTATTATTTTTTCTGTCGTTTCACCATAAGATAAAAACTGAAGGCCCACTTTGAAAATGTATTTCCAATGAGAAGTTAACAAGCTTATGGCGATTCCACTTCCGGTCGTCACATTCTAATTAGCATAATACATAATGATCCGATGTTAATTAAGCGGTATGTCATAGCATGAATCTGCTCAACTGCATTACTAAATGATGCAGATCATTATGAGCATTCAAAATTACTTTTAAGTTTGTCATT